CATCGTCGAGCTTGGAGGCACTATAGTATCGTCTTTCACGAGAATCTTGCTCAGTGTCAAGGGACCGTCTTCTGGCGTCAAATGCGAGAAGGGCGAGAGTTCAATTTCGGCGGCGCAATGAATGACGGCGTCGTTGCGGGAGAGAAAATCCCATCCCAGGATGACGTCATGAGAGCATGCAGGAATGATGATTAGTTGGGGGACATACAGAACGTCCTGAACGACAACGCGAGCTGTGCAGCCTGCTGTAGGATGAATACAATGTGAACTAGCGGTACAAAGGGACAACCCAGAAATTGGCGTCGTCACTTTTCGAAGCAAGCGGCACAGGTTTTCGTTCATAACTGATACGGCACCTCCAGTGTCAATAAGAGCAGATGCATGAACACTGTCCACAAGCACGTCAATGACATTTGGTGGGTGGCTCTGAGGGCTTTCACAATGCAATAGCGTCACACTCTTCGACTCTGGGACTGCGACGACTAGTTTTTCTGCTCGTGAGCAGTCGAACTTGGCTGCATGGGGGATAGGGACCGACGTCGCGGTGACGGCGAAGTTCGAGGAGACGGACCTGGGCGAGACACTGGCACAGACGGCAGTTTGTCGTTATACGGATGGCCAAGGTGGCCAGCAACATGAGAAAAAATAGGAGCCGGCTGTACTCGAGAGCAATAACGGGCTACGTGACCGGCGTAACCGCAAGCAATGCAGATGGGCCGGTGGTCGGGTGTGCGCTATCGGTTCGCCGCAGTGGGTCTAGCTAGGAACGGAGGCTCGAAAGGCTGCATGGTGGGCTGAAAAGGAAGCTGAGGGGTTGCGCCCTACATACGCAGCCGGCATACCCGCTGCAAAGGACGGAGGTCGTGTGGCCGCTTCGGCGTAAGTCAGTGGTGCAGGTGCTTGAACGACTGGATGCGGCCTCGCAACCACTTGGGCATAACTTGGGGGTGCAGGGGCCGGAAGTTACTGTGGTTGGTACGCAGGCACGACCTCCGCTATTTCCTGCTCAATCGCTCGGCGGATGGGTGGAAGAATAGTAGTTGCCGATTGTTGAACAGCCGGTGGGTGGGCAAATAGAAGGAGAGAAAACTGGCGCGCGATTTTTTCACGTATGAAGGACTTGAGGTCTGCAAGCAGCGCCACTTCATCACATCTCACCTCCAAGCCAGCAAGGCCTGCATCTCGTGGTGTGGAGCGACGGGTTATCGAACGCTGCCGGCGGAGCTCTTCGTAGCTCTAGCACAGCGTGACGACCTCAGCTACTGTGCCTCGGTTTTTGGCAAGCAGCATCGTGAAGGCATCATCGTCAATGCCCTTCATGACGTTCCGGATCTTGTCTGATTCGCACATGCTGTCGTTGGATTTCTGGCACAGGTCCAGGACACCATCTATGTAACTTGTGAATGATTCACCGGCCTGCTGAGCGGGTTCGCGTAAGTCCTGCTCGGTTTGCAGCTTACGAACGGCAGGGCGGCCAAAAATGTTGGTGAGAGCGGTCTTCAAATCGAACCAGGTTGCGAAATCGGACGCGTGGTTGTTGTACCACAAGCTTGCAACGCCCGCAAGTTAGAACACCAAGTTTGTCCACTTGCCGTCCTCGTCCCATTTGTTGGGGATGCTCACGCGCTCGTAAATGGAGAGCCAGTCCTCCACGTCAGTGCCATCGGCGCCCGTGAAGATGGGTGGATCTCGGATCCTGGGGACACCGGGACAAGAGGGTGGCATGGGAGGAGGTATTTGCTGAGAGGCGTAGCGGGACATGGTAGATTGCAGGGTACGTGAGCGCAGTTGCAAGGGCATCGGAGGGGATCATAACACTCTCCACCAATTTGTTATGGCGTTTATTAGCAGGCACACAGCCAGTATACACAATGACGACAGTAACGGCCAAGCACGGACAGATTTACTATGGATCGGGCAACTCTTCTCCTGCACGTCGACGATGTGGGTGCGCTTTAAAGACACGGACAGGGAAAAGACAGATGTGTGCTGTCAATTCCCTGTCCGCGTCATCAAAGAGCATGCACATCAGCATCAGAACCAACGGGCCCAATTAACTTCGCTGACAAGCTTCCCCTGCAGGCGGGGCCACTGCCAGAAGTAACACGAGCAGGGGAGTGCCCTCATCGGAACGCCATGACAGATATCAGGCCATGCGAGCGGCGTTACCTGCAGCAGTGGACGTGCCTGTACCTGCCGTGCACTACGTCGAGCCCCCTTCATGTAGCCGATAGACGTTGCACCAAATACATCCTAAGGAATGCGCCAGCAATAATAGAGCAGCAAACTCAAACACACCATGAAAACAACGCCGGGATTATTGAAAAAGCATTACCGGAAGTGGCGCACTGGAAGTCTGCTGGGTAGGCCGTTCGACGCGAGCCAGTTTGTTTACAAACACCAAAACCATCTATAGGCCATCCCAGGTATCCCTCAGCACGATTTAAAAATTAAATAAAGAGGAACGATGTTACGCAAACGAAACCTGGCGCATATTGTTTTCAGTATGGTGTACTCGCTACAAGTCATTTTTTTGATTAGAAATATTTACTCATTATATATTTGTAACTCGAAAAGCGCTACCATTGTTCATAGTTATCAAGATATGGCAAAGAGACAAAGGTGCGCATGTTGAGACGACATCTGTGTGGGCTATTTTCTTTAGCGTACTAACTGCGTGCTCATTCTTAATGAAGACAACCCACGAAATGATAAAAATGACACGTGAATGTGCTCCAACCCACACAATAAGGCAGTGCTCTAAAATTAACTCACTAGAAGCAACAGCTGTGCCTCTTTTTCATTGCGAGAGACAGCGTCCTGCATATTCAGAGTGTACAGGTCAAGCGCCAACAACATTTGCCGGAACCTTGCAGGAATTTCATTCGCTTGATTCTGCGTCACTATCCATATCACACGCTCCATTGTCTTCATTGATGAAGCGGCTGGAACTCTGTTCTGTTTACAACCTGCCTGTGTAACATCACACTGGTGGGTTTCTACGGACGGGAAGTGGCAGATAACGCGATTGGTATTCTTTTTTCATTTCTACATTTCTTTCATTATTACTGGCCACATCAAAGTTTGCTTGTCTGAAGCGGCTGCATACAGATGTGCGCTAAAGTCCTTTTCATGCACGCAGCAGTCTAGTCATGTCTAATGTTTTATATATTTCGCGGGCTTTCTTTGTCAGCGTGAAAAAAATGAGCACGCAACTCGAACATTGTTGCAAGTATATAACACAGGCATATGTCATTTCAACATGCGCACATCTACGGTATTGACATATAGATAAATAGATAATTACTCTTAGAGTTCAATCAATCAATCAATCAATCAATTTATTTTCTTTTTATTAAGCGAAATACAGGACAAAAAGCTGCTTGACGAGGTCCTGACCCCGTTCACAAGTTGACAAAGCAGCAGGATTGGCAGATAATCATGCATAACGAATATCAAATAAGCCTATAGGTGTATCAACACAAAAAGTAATACAACCATTTATTTTAAAAGCACAAAAAGAAAAAGAGACTAGCTGAAATGTATAGCATTGAAGTGGCATGATCATAGAGAGCAATAATTAGAAAAAGGAAAGAATGGTCATAAATTTTGAGAGATGTATTGTTCAGGAGAATATATCAGCTAGACGAAATGTTTATAGTGACAGTTTTGTTTAAAGTAAGGATCAAAATTTTCGCGTGTTAAAAAGTTTAACAGAGAAGGTTGTCTGTAGGACAATGAGTGTTCGTCATAAAACTTCTTAGTCCAAACTTCTTTGTGCCTGGTGAGTGAGACACTTGTGTTTACGTTAAGTTTAGCAAGACTTATTGGGGTAGTGGCACCATGCTCAACAAACTCTTTATTACATAACATCAGTCTGTAATTCTAAAAAGAGAAAACTGGAAGAATATCATATTTTCGAAAAAGGAGCTTTGTAGAGGACAGATAGTGTTGAGCAGCAATATGTCGAACGGCTCTTGATTTAGTAAGTGCAACTTGCGCAAATTAGTCACACCGTTACAAATACAAATACTACTAAATAATAATTTACTTATAAAGATATAAGTTTGTAAGAAATAGTACCATATGGGCTCGAGCGTAAACTGGGCGAGCGATAAGAAGTGAACCGCGAAGTCTGATTAGAACAGCCGGCCCACAGGATGGGGTATATATTTATATATATATATATATATATATACATATTCATATATATATATATATATTTATATATTTATATATCTATATATATATAAATATATACCTGATGTCATTATGTAGCTTTCAGTAATGTTGTCGTGCAGTGTTCTAGCTACTCATAAGGTTAGGAACCTCATGTCACCGCTTGGTGTCATGCACGCAAAGCAATGTAGAGCATAGCCATATTATGTATACCAAGGGGGTGCACAAAAGAAATGAGGAGAAAAGAATTGATATCAGTATGCATCCAAAACAATTTATAAATACCCATCCATAGATTAGCGAACAGGCGCGAAAAAGAAGTTACGGTAAGGACAATCGAAAAAATGAAGGGAGAATCTCAAAGCAATGCAGCCTAGTCGTGTGTGGCGTCACGCAAGCCAAAGCCAACGATCGAAAAGGGACTTCAAGGTGATGAGTAGGGGATAGAGTAAAACACATCACAGTAGACCCAAAAGTGAATGCGAGAAGGAGGGACGTGAAGAGGGGAGAGGATCCCACGAATGGACGTTTCATTTCTCTTTTTGGCCGCATTGCTAGAATTCCAAGGCACGCGAGCGTCGCTCAAGAAACGGAGATCGTCCAGTAACGCTCACACGCTGCATTCGTCGTGTTAACGTCTGTTCTCCTGTCTCGTACGTCCCAAGCGCAATTTGAGTTCGTGCAAAAGTATCTTAACAACTACCCCCAAACACCCACTACTTGAGTTCGTTACTGAAGGACTTGCAAATCACTGCACTTCCTGCACATTTCACGCTAAGTGCAAATGCATAAGCCCTTTACCACTTCATTTACCTTTGCAGATTTTCCTAGACCAGCCTTGACCAAAGTTGCAGCAACAAGCAGCAGCTCGTTCGAAGTCGCCTGGACATTCCCGCAAGATGACACTCGTCTGTACAAAGGCTTTCAAGTGTTGTACTGTCCTACTAATCAAGATATCTGTACCGTGCTCTACACTACGGAGAACAGCGTGACAGTGTCAGGACTGGCTCCAAACAGCGCCTTCAATATCTACGTGCAAGCACAGCTCACGAATTTTGACGGAAGGCCAATCTTAGGACCTGCAGCTAAAGCATCGATTACTACTTGGAATAATCGTGAGTGCACACTGCTGGAAATATTTCTTGCGGTTGGCGTCCGAGTTCAGAGCATGGGAAAGAGTGATTTAAAGCCACAATACAGGACTGAACTCCCAGTCATATGAGCAATGCACGCCTTATCGGTGACATACGCATGGCACAAAGCTCGCTCTACTTTAAAAGAAGCAACAACTCTGTTTCCCATATTCAGAGTAATGGCATGCAAGCCTTACCGCATGCAAATATTTTATAGCATGCAAACGCTGCTAATTCAAATTCTTTTATTCACGCGCACACCTCAACCAAACGCAGCTATACCCATAACCTCACATTTCTTTCTCCTTTGTGGGATTATGTTGATATACGTTCACGTTAAATCTCCCTGAAAATACTCGTAAAAGATGTCTATACTCGAGTACAAGAAACTAAATTTCGAGGCCATAAACCGCGAATTATGTACAGCCGTCAGCACGCCTAACTCTAAACTCCACCGCATCCCGTTTACCCGCTTTTATGGACGCCAGTGCCACTAAGCGCTGGAGAAGCTATGTTTTGACGTAGTGCTATGATTTCACGAATTGCTGATAACGGCACATGAGCTGTTGCACGCTATGGTTCAATGCCCAGTAAAGATCGTGGCAACAAACTTCATGGACACGCGTGAGAACACCGCCACGAGCGAAACGAGGCGAAAAATGACTAGCCAAGTGAGTGTATTTGACTTAGAGCACTATATGGACCGGAATTTTCGACCAGAGCCGTGGCCGGGCTCGGAACCTGTTTAAACATACCCGCTTGAGCCCAGTCGGCTAGTCAAAGAAAGACCTGGGCCAGCCAAGAAAAAATTTTCCTATATGAAATGGCCCGGCCCGACCGCAGATGAGGCCCGACATCGGCCCGAGTCAATAATCTGGGTGGTGTTGCCCGAACGCGTTGTCGATAACAACGCACTTTGAGTGACTAATATGTACAGATGGGTCCGCTGTTAATGGGAACACCTGCGTGAGCAGCATGTTTAAATTTCGCTATCTCACGAAATCATAGCGGCTTAGATATCCATGAAGCCATTGGTGGTTAAAAGTTCCTACTCCTCTTGACAGACTACTGACTTGCATGAACATTGTTTCTTAATACAGTTGCTTTTAGAGGGCCAGGATTATTGATAGTGTGCATTCGAGTGTTTCCTTTAACATTGGATTATACTGTACATACGCTTTCGTGGCGCATGCTGAACTAACAATTGTACTTTAACCTATGGTAATTTCTTGTAAAAAAACGATAACGGTGGCAACAGGTGAGCTGATATACTGCATACACTAAATATTTGCTTGACAGAGTTACGTTGTACGCACTTTTTTTTTGCAAATACTCAATGGGAGTGCAGCCAAGACTTCGACGGAAGCCCATCTGGTCAGAAAAAATCATTTAACAAGAAATTCGCCCCGTTTCTGCTTCTTAATCTGCAAATGTCGTCGAAATACGATAGTCTTGCATCTGGAGAGATTGAACAAAGCATTTATTTGATTTTCTGCGCAAGAAAATTGGTGAATAGTATTCTGGAGGCGCTGCATTAGAGTGCCTCGAGCGTGCAGCGGACTCGCTAACTCGCGAATCTCCCCCACAGAAAGTTTTATTGCTAAGTTTCCTTTGAGCGCTCACACAAGCCTACATGCAAACTTGAAACAAAGGAGACAAAGGTAGTTGTCAACGACTGCAGGAGAAACACCCAAAAAGATCACCGGAAGAAAATGACACTGTTTCGCCAAAAGGGCGAAGCAATGATTGTGATAGCAACATATTCGAATGTTTTACGGAGTAGTAATAAATGGAGTAAACATGACCTTGCTAAGTAACCAAGTATCCTGCGGCGCGGCCACAGTCAATGACCCCAACAAGTAAATACACAGTAAAAATAATTACGTGGCACGCATGTGGTTTTACGCGGCACCACACGCTTCAGATCCCTTCCCTGCGTATTCTGCCTAAATAACTCATGGCGAACGGTACAGAACCTGCAAAACATGCATAGCCACTGAATGCCTAGCTGTGTCTCAAAAGCTTTCTCGGTGGCTAACTATACTCGTGCGCATGTTGTCAAGTGCAGTTCGCGACTGTGGCAGGGATAATTGCACAACATTAGTTTCACCGAAAAGGTGAAGCAATGGATCTGATAGCAACAAAGTGCAATGTTATACTAAGTGAGGCTGGCAGTCAACTCATGTAGATGCCATCTCACGTACCTCTACTAAACGGTGAGGTAAGACAACACGGCTGCTTCAGGTACACTTCCGGCATCGTTTTTTTCTTCTTGAGAGCTTAGCCCGTAGAAGCTCCCATCTGTTGGGCATCATTGTTCCCCCCCCCCCCTTGTTCACCCACGAGGTAAGCGTGCGTCCGACGACCCTGGCCGGAAAGGCGATGTTCGCTCCGTGGAAAGAGGAGGCCAGTGCATTCTTAACCGTATTTATGTACATACATATAGATATACGTGAAAACCAGCTGAGACGGTCCATATAATTCACATCCCAATCAAAGTGGTTCTTTCTGGCCAACACCTTAGGCAAAAAGAGCCGAAATAGAAGTGCAAACTATACTGAGCATTCACTCTCATTCTGCAGAGGCTTCAGACACATTTCCTCGGTAACCTCCATGTATTTCCTGTGCCTTCTCACAATCTGTTCTTCGGTGCAATCCGGGAATAGTACAGAAAATTTTCCCCACCACCGCAATGCAAATGAAGCTTCACCTCACAATACACCCAGGCTGGAGAAGGACCAGCTCTAGGAAAACCAGAGAAATTCGTTGGTTATATTTAGGGTACTCCCCTCATAACGATTTTGCGTTTTCACAATCATGTGAAATATGGTTGGATTCAAAAATACACATGAAAACTAATATTGATCATGATTATATTGTCAAGTAAACGTTGTTTTTTTGCTCTGTTCATGTAAAGCTTTATTTTGTTTTTTCTTCTGGAGTTCTTTTCAACAAGCCCGGCACTATGACATTTTCATGTGCAAATGGCGTGAATGTCTCCTATATTAATGTTTCGATGGGATTCCGATCGCAGTTCCGATGCTGCATACCAAGTATGCAGCGACCATACAAGAAAGTAATGACTGCCTGCTGCAATGGACTTGCTACAACAGCACCATCGACTACTTCCAGGTGAGAGCTTCAGGCATAATGACTGCAGCTTGCACCGCCAAATTGGTGAATATATATTTGTACTTTTCTCGCTGGCTCGCCGAATGATTCTCTATTCATGCTTTAAACGGGTTCTGCAACACTTTTTGAGAATGGTACAAAAACGCTTGGTAGTCGACGCTACCGAGAACACGCGAGCCTAAAAATGACAATTGCTTCTCAGAGCCAAGTAGAAACCGCTTTTTAGGGGCGAAGCTCCTTAGGGCGTGGGCTGTGCGTCCCCTGTAGCCTGTATGTAGCCACCTCAAGTTTAGTTCTTGCAGTGTTCACTAGATGGTGGTACCGTCCCCTGTATGTAGCCACCTCTAGTTTAGTTTTTGCAGTGTTCACTAGATGGCGGTACCGTCTCGTGTATGTAGCCACCTCTCGTTTAGTTCTTGTAGTGTTTACTAGATGGTGGTACTTGTAGCTGATGATTAAAAGATGCAAGATGTTATAAACTAGAAAGCGGTACTTGTAGTTGATGAAAGACGCGAGATCTTATAAAATAGGAATGATGTCACATATGGCGCGTGTCATTGGTTGAAGGCAATCGTTCGATTTAGTGCGGCGACGTACGCTAGGGGGAGCGATGTAATAAAATCAAGTGGGCGAAATGTACAGAGGATTCATGGTTTACCAGGTTTACCTCCGGAGCTTCGCCCACTCAACATCATTCACTTCGTGGATATGGCGGAATTTTTTCTTTTTATACAAATGCACCCAAAGTCAGCGACATTGGCTGATATGTGAGCTGCATAGTTGTCGTTGCCGCTGCAGGCTGGCGCTCTTTGGCCGCAGGCACGGCGGGGCAGTATCGTAGATCGACGTATCTTATATCTTATATTTCTAGTTTACTATAATGATTTGCCAGTATGTGTTTCTTCTAACCTGAAACTGTTTGCAGACGACTGCGTTGTGTTCCGGAAAATTAACAGCCTAAATGGCGTCACTGCCCTTCAAAATGGCATTGACACCATCTTTAACTGCTGTCCAACTTGGCAAATGGAACTAAATGTTTACAAATGCAAGGTATTGCGTATTTCCTGAATATCATATTCTCCTGCTACTTACTCACTTAACAGCATCCCACTCAGATCAGTCACCACTTACTGTTATCTAGGCGTACACATAACCACTTGTTCAAGCTGGTCACTCCATACCCGCTCCATTATTATTAATGCAAACCGCATGCTTCGGTACATTTGTCGCAACTTCTTTACCGCACCTGTCTTATTTAAACTACTAATGTACAATACGCTGATTTGTAGCAAGATAGAATACGCCGCTGCAGTATGAGATCCGAGTTCAAGTAATTTAATCAATGCTCTTGAACTAATTCAGAATAATTCTGTTTGCTTTATTCTTCACAACTACAGTCGTCACACTAGCATTTATGCCAGAAAAAATTCACTCGAACAGCCGTCTCTTGCCTCTCCACGTATGCTCTTCCGCCACTGCCTATTTCACAAAATTTGTCATCATGTTCCGACTCTTCGCAATGCACTTATTTTTCAGCCTTTTTACGTACCCTATAGTATTGATCATTCTAATGAAGTTGGTGTTATGTCTTGCCTAACCAAAACATGCAGCGATTCAATTATTCCAGAACATCAGTAGATTGAAACCGCCTTCCCGGATCTGTGACCATTTTGACCGATTATCACTTGTTTTCTTCTGCGCTAACAAGCCTTGTATAAACGCCCACACTTATTTGTTCTGTTTGTACAGAATGCTTATATTTTGCGCTTTTTACATTTTATTTATTTTTATTATAACCTAACACTGTATGAATAAAAAATCGTGTTTCGCCCCCCTACATAATGCCGTTGGTCCGGAGGATATTACAAAATGGATAAATAAATAAATATTTTAGTTACTCTTAAAGCATCTAGTATCTCTATCGCGATACGCCTGCAAAGAGGAGTATCTGTCTCTGTATTTCTGTTACATTCGATAATTTGTCGTGCGTCTAAAGATAAAAGATACTGCGATCGCAACGCTACCGTGTAATACATTAATCACTACTTCGCTTCTAAAGCTGTCACGGATGTCCCTAAGCCACCTTTTTAAAACTAAGGGCGGTGACATAACCTTATCTTTCTGCTCTACTACAACATTGAGGGCCAGCGATGAGTTATGAACGTCCCTTTTGGTGGAGCGGTGCAACATGACAGAACTCGCGCAGTCAAAACAGTAACCAGTGTGCAAACGTAGACATTCGTGCACTTGTACGCGTGCTTTTTGTTTTTGCTTTAAAGATTATCTCTATTTTTCAGTTGCGTCAGAGCAATGACACTTACCCTTAGCCACTGATCAGCGCCACGTGCCACAAGGCATGCATATGATCCTGCAACTTTTAATGCCACTCTCTTGCGTGGTGCTTCGTTAGAAAATCTAAAGCGCTGGGTTGATTTGCATCTGGTGTCTTTCACACATCAGTCAATGGCACAGTTGCAGTGGTAGAGTGACTGAGGTACTCGGCTACTGACCCACAGGTCGCGAGATCGAATCCCGGCTGCAGTGGCTGCATTTCCTATGAAGGCGAAAACGCTGTAAGCCCGTGTGCTCAGCTTTAGGTGCTCGGTAAAGAACCTCAGGTGGTCGAAAAGCAAAGTGCTTTAGCCACTGTACTACCGCAGAGGGGCACGACTTCTTTCTCGTTGATTGCATACGCGGGAACTGTATTTGTTTCAACCAGCTTGATGAATACAGATCTTCTAAGGAACACGCACTCATGCTCACTCACAAGCTTCGATGGGAATCCCAAAATGACTTGTTTTTGGGATAGTTGGTGCATACTTGGTGCAGAATACTGAGGCGCAAAAAACATGACGTGAAGCAGGAAGAGCAGGAGAAAAGACAGAACAGCGCCAACTACCAACTGTTTAATGACCGTCTAGAAAACGCACTGGAAAGAAGACGAAACCGCGCATACGTGCAAAGCCAACAAAAATGCATTTTTTGGATAACTTAGTGCCTTATTCATGACGCTGTGGGATGTTTGTTGGCTGTGCATGCATGCGCGGTTTTGTCTTCTTTCCAGTGCGTTTCCTAGATGGCCTATAAACAGTTGGTAGTTGGCGCTGTTCTGTCTTCTCTCCTGCTGTTCCTGCTTCACGTTATGTTTTTTGCGCCTCAGTCTTCTGCACCTTCGATGTCAAATTGCTGCCATCGAGTGATGCCATTGTTGTTTACCAGTGCAGAGAAAAGGCGAAATTACGCCAGAAAACTAGAAACACGAAAAAACGAAAATCCTGCATTGGATTAGATTTTTTATGAACAATACGAATAATCCTGTAGACAATACCTAGATGTATTCTTTTCATGTTTTCCTCTGTGCTACACAAAAAATTGGCCCCGTATCTGCACGTTTCACTACAAATGTCGTCAAAAGAAGATAGTCTTGCGTGTGTAGAGATCGAACAAAACGTTCCTTTGATGATATGCGCGAGAAAATCGGTGAATTTTATTCTGGAAGCGCTGCTGCGTCAGAGTGTGTCGATCCGTACAGCGAAGGCGAACGAGCGCATTCAGGCACCATAGACACGAGCGCTATCTGGTAGTTATTTTCAAAAATGAAGGCAGGCGTGCGCGCCCGGGGAGAAAGATGCGCGTTTCACCTGTCTTGGAGGCGATAAATAGTATAGAACGCAAAGCGACGGCCAGAAGCCACCACCATGTCGTCTCAGCAAAGCGTCGGAAACACTTGCCTTTTTTAACAACGTGTTGCACTGTCAGCACAGCGTGATAAACACTATAGTCCTTAAAATTACTTGTGTGTGCCTCCTCTGGTATAAAGGCACACACACAAAACATCGACGTGTTGTTATGGTGCCTCAGATATGCGCAATAATTGCTTTTTAATTGATGATCGCACGAGTATGAGCGCTGAATCTTGAGCAATATTGGTAGGCGCTGCGGATGGGGTTGTGCGTTTAAGGCATCGTTTGGTGCTGTTTGAGGCATCGTTACCGTGGACAAACAGACAAATGAACACACAGACAGACATACCAAATTTTGGCGTCGAAGGTTCCCACGAAAAACTATCGTCTTTAAAAGTTGGCGTGCACGGAATACATGCAGAAGCGTAGTAAAGGAGTGCGTGCTTCGGCTTCGTAGCCTTGGCTGTGCTGCCACAACCAAGGCTACAGGATTCACTTCCGAAACTTTGGATGTAAATCCACTGGGGCTTAGAAACTTTCTGCAATAGTAGCAGTTCACGCACCCAGTAATGCCACTCATCGCTGCGTTTGGTGCAATATAGCCACGGTCACACTTGCACTACAAAAGCAGACACAACCAATCTGAAGATCCTGAGGTAGACGTTGTCGTCCTATGCCAATGCACGTGTCCGTAACTTCTGCCTGGCAGTGATAAATGGCGCAAGAAATACCGTCGGCTCAAAACGCTGCAAAATACCTTCACCAGCTCCTGCTCCCTCTAAAAGTAAACTCCAGTGAGTTTACAGTAGATCCCGTCTACTGCCTTGTTAAGAGGGTAAATTAAGGAAAGTGAGCCAAATGAATTTAGAAAAAAAAAGTGAGAGCAGCAATGCAACGTATTTTCCTTACAAATAAACTTAACATGAAGGAATTCCAGCACCTTAAGATTAAAAAAAATTAAATGCCGAATTTCAGAGAACTGGAGATTTACCGGAAGTAAATTCTGACAGACGCTGAATTTCCTCCAAAAATCATTTCGGAAAACACCCTCTAGAGTGCAACTCCGAAAACGCGGAAGCTAACAACCCTTATAGGCCAAGAACTGAAGGAAAGGAATCTTCGGAGCTTGTTTTGTTGTTCGACACAATGTGCGCCAAGAAGGGCTGACAAGAAGCTAAACATTGAGCGAAAAGTTAAAAACAATTCACAATATTTTACAGATACAAACCAGATAGCTCGAGGTCAAAGGGAATTCAGCATTCACTTTCACACCGTCACACACCTAGGGATATTGTTCCAATTGGCTTACTGCACAAA